ATAAAATGAAGTGGCTATTGTGAAGGCAGTTCAGGTATACTAAGCTATGAACAGGTTCAGCTGGTGGTTGACAACCACAAAATATCATAGATAGATATTCATTGACATTAAGTGTGACTTGAATGTCAAAATACAATTTGGTGCCATGAACTGTAATAAACTTATTTGTTGTTCTGCATGTTATTACAGGTCAAAGAAGCGAAGCGGACCATTAAAAATCCTCAGGTAGAGAAATACAGTCCTGATCATGACGAGAAGTTCTGGTGTTACTGCTGTGTGCTGGAGGTGCAGAAACACGTGACTGACAGTAACATCAGTGTGCTGTACGGAGGACTGCTGGAGCACATGAGCACGTAAGATCACACCTCAAAACCTTTGAGAAACTCATGCAGAGCTTGCAGTGAATTTACTGAGCGCTTCTCATTTCAGCCCAGAGCACCGGACAAACACACACAAGTTCTGGTGGGACAATAAAGCAGATCCCAAACTGCGAGACAAGTTTATCATAACAGAAGAGGAGACTGAGAGGTTATCGCTTGCTTATTTGTGTTTGGGGACATGGACGTGTCCGTTGTAGCATTTCTGTAGTACATTAGCAAACTGATACCATCACTGTAAGTTTGCAGATGTTCTTGAGAGAAATAAATGAAGAATATCTTTTTTGTAGATTCAAGTCGGAGGTTTCCAAGGCTCTGGAGCAGTTTGAGGAAAAAGAGGATGTGTTTATTAAACAGGTAAAAGTGTTTTACAGGTACTTTAGTTTGTTAATTGTTGTTGGTTTAACCATATCTGAACTTCAAAACGTTTCTTCTCTTCTTTCATCCTCAGCAAGCTGCAGTGATCCGATCCCAGGAGCAGCACAGACTGGAGGCCCTTCAGTTTTTATCAGAGGTTTGTTTTCCTGGGAATCTCCAAGCGTATCCATATCTCAGTATTCGTTTGTTCCGTTGGTTTGATGAAAAAAAAAAAAGGAAATGTTATTTATGACTTTTTCAAACTCTTGCTAATTAGCTTTAAAAAAAATAAATAAATAAAAAGCAAGTAATTCCTTTGCTGGAAAATGATGTTAAAAAGACATGGAGAATTACTGCTGACTTTCCTGAATCAAACTTAGCCGGAGCCAGAACTGGTACATCCTGCTGAAGTGGACCAGCACAGCAGTAACCATACTGCCAGGTAAAATAAATGTAAAAATTAAAATTGTTGCTCCAATACCTATATATATCCATTCCAATACACTAGTATGCAAAATATGGAGTCAGTAAGATTGTATTATTATTTTTTTTATAGAAATGCATACTTTCATTGCACAAGGATGCATTAAATCGATCAAAAGTAACAAAAAGACAGTTATAAAATGTTTTTTTTGTGTGTTAAAAACATTAATAAAAAAAAGCTGTTCTTTTAAACTTTCTATTAATCACAGAATCGTTCTTATTTATATATATTTTTTTGTATTTTGATCAATTAATGCAGCCTTGGTGAACATATGAAACTTTCTGAAACGTTTTAAAAACAGTCTTACCGACCCCAAATTTTTAATAGTGATTGTATATTTTTTGTGTGAGATATATGTCCGTTTATGCAAAGATAGAGTGAGATGAATGGAAATCCAACCTAATCCATGTGGAGTTGAACAGAAATAACAGTACATTGGTCATACAAAAAATTAAATGGCACGAGTTGTATAGTCGATGTTTTTTATAGATGATGAAAATACTAAACCAGCCTTCAAATGAAGCGTTACTAGAAATACTGGTGCAAGTGTAAAAAAGGAAGTATCAGTGTGGCTTTTTTCATTGTTTGGTGCATCCTTAATCTTTATGCAAATACGAAGTACAAAATTGGTTTTGTAGACAAAATGTATCTATATATGAATTTAACTTTCGTTTGACATTTTTTGTTTAACATTTTTAATCACTACACAATTCCTCAGTTTTGATGAATTTATTATAAAAACAAAATAGTAAAGATATGAGTAGGTGTCCAAATGTTTTACTAGTGTGAATACAGTCAAAGTTAGCATAATATGCAATTTCCAGTAGTGAGAATCAGAAGTTATAGACGATTAAATGCTGCTTTAGTGCCATGAGATGATCAAAATGACTTTTTCTTCATATAATCTGGAACTAACAGAGTTTGTAATGTCTAAAGCATGAGTTTTGATGTTTGACAAGAAGTTCCCACAGTCACTCTTATGAAATGGAGCCACAACCAGGGCCAAGCCACGAGGATTTCGCCTCACACAGTCAGTGGAATGAACCAGGACTGGGTTTAACTTTCATCGGTTACCGGGTAATCTTTCTTACACTATACATGTGCAACAATTATTGATTAGATTAATAAACAAGGTCAGGGATCATTTTGACTTGCTGCCCCTATTTGCAGGACTCGTCCAGCAGTGGAAATGTTCATACTGGTGAGTAAAAGCGATTTAGTTTGGGTTTATTCTTTGAGAAGATACTGAGCAGGTTGTGTTGAATTGTAGGAGCTGTACCGCCGTGGCTACTGGAGGAGCCTGATGAAGCCTCAGGCAGTGGACAGCAGGAAATGGGCCCCTCGCTTCAGGAGTTCCTCAAACACAGTATGCACTTCACTCTCACTGGTTTTGGCTGCGTTTATTTCACAGAGGACATCTCTGTGCAAAACACTTAAAGGGATAATTCACTCAAAAAGAAAGAGTCTATCATTTACACACCCTCACATCATTCCAGACTTGTATGACTGACGTTCTTCAGCAGAGCGAGATATTTTGAAGAATGTTGGTAACCAAACAGTTTCAGTTCCCATTGACTGGACAAAACTGTATATCCCATTGTATAGATAAAAATGCAATGAAAGTCATTGGGAATGGAAATACCTTCTTTCTTGTTCCTCAGAAGAAAGTAAGTCATACAGGTCTGGAAAGACATGAGGATAAATGATTGAATTTTCTTTTTTGGATGAACTCTCTTCAAATGATATGTAGTACTATGGCTATTATTAACATGGAAAATTAGGGTACTGCTTATTGAATACTGTACCATATGCACTGTGTACTAGCTAACTTAATCCAGTGTTTTTAACAGTAGTATGCTAAATTTTTTGTTTGCAAAAGTGGTATTATAGGGATAATTCACCCAAATATGAAAATTCTGTCATTAATTACTCACCCTCATGTCGTTTCAAACCCGTAAGACCTTCGTTCATCTTCGGAACACAAATTAAGATATTTTTGATGGAATCTGAGAGCTGTCTGACCCTGCATTGACAGCAATACAACTGAAATGTTCCCAAGTCCAGAAACGTAGCAAGTAGATCTGTAAAATAATCCATGTGACATCAGTGGTTCAACCGTAATTTTACGAAGCTACGATAATACTTTGTGCACCTTATAAACTGGGAAACTGAGCTGGAAACTGACTTGCCCCCTCTCCACTCTCCTTCGTCCCCGCTGGTCCCGTCCAGCCCTGAGTGGGGTCCCGTTTCCCAGTCCAGAGAGGGCCCCAGTCCCCGAGTTTAGCCCAAAGATGGCTCCTGGTCCTTTTGCGCACAAAAAGTATTCTCGTAGCTTCGTAAAATTGTGGATGAACCACTGATGTCACATGGATTATTTTACAGATCTCCTTGCTACGTTTCTGGACTTGGGAACATTTCAGTTGCATTGCTGTCTATGCAGGGTCAGACAGCTCTCAGATTCCATTAAAAATATCTTAATTTGTGTTCCGAAGATGAACGAAGGTCTTACGGGTTTGAAACGACATGAGGGTGAGTGAGTAATGACAGAATTTTCATTTTTGGGTGAACTAACCCTTTAACTATTTTAGTAACATTTTATATATAAAACAATCTTCCCATTTATATATTAAACACGAAGTATAAGAAGGCACTGCAAGTTGTATACTGTCTTAAATCTTGAATTACAGAGGAGCAGGAGAAGCTCAAGAAGCTTCCGCTCAATCGTGTGGGTGCAAACTTTGACCACAGCTCACATACTGATGCCAACTGGCTGCCATCTTTTGGACGCGTGTGGAATAGTGGCAGGCGCTGGCAGTCTAGGTGAGCTCGAACTACTGCACATTAGTAGGTTCAATCAGTTCTTTTTTTTTTATTGATCGGTTCGTCCTTGATCTTTATAGAAATGTCTTTATACAGATCTTTGTATACAGTACAAATGTGCTTTTGTAGACATATCTAAATAAGAATTACTTTAGTTTCTTTAACAGTGTATAGTTCTTTTTTTTATTGACACTTTTCCCCCCCTCAGGCGTCAGTTCAGAGAGGACGAGGCAAAAACCAGGGGGAAGAGGAAGTGGGAAGGCGATGGGAAAGCAACAAAGCAGAAAAAAGACCTCAGCAATGGAGAGTTATGAAGTGGATGCCCCAAATATACTAGCAGTGTTGGAAAAATGGCCTATTGGTTTTCTCATATTGGGAATTAGTATTTAAAGGACGTCACCCCAGTTTTGAACACTTATGATGTTTCAGCTTGTATTTAGAATTTTTTTTTTTACAAGAAATGAACATCGTTTGTGTTTCCAGTTTATTGAATACATTTTTGCTACAGATGTGTAATTTTTTTGGTCATAAATCCAACACAAAATACCCTTCCCACTCTCCTCAAAAGATAATTGTGATAAAATGAAGACACAATGTGCAATATCTTCTTTCCATTTTGAACAATACATCAGTTCAGTCAAATTTAATAGAATCTCGTCTATTAGAGCTATTTCATGTTCCCAACAGAAAGCCAAGACCATATTAATGCTCAATAATATAATAACTCAAACGTCTAGACAGAATAATAAAAATACAGATTACATTAATATTAAAGGATACCTTGCAGTCTTTTATTTTTCTTCTCTCTTTTTTTTTTAGTAGTTTCTGTTAAAATAATACATGACTTAACGCTTTAGAATGCAAAAGAAGAAGAAAAAAAAGGTCTCTGTAAGAGATGCAGTGTTGGTCATAATTGTACAATACATTACATTTAAAATGGACCATTAAGGGTCTTCATCAAGTTCCTGCATTGAAGCTTCTTTCTATTTAACTTCATTCTCAAAACCAAGAAAATCCGAAAGACAGATCGGGCCGAGCTGCCTGACGCGTGTTATAACAGCTTGACCCGACGACATTACGAAAGGTCCGGTTTTCCCGTGGCCACAAGCCAGAGAAAACACTTTCAGTAGCTTCATTAAATAGCATGTGGTTTATTAAGAGGAGGAATGAGGAGAGACACCACCACAATCATCAGCCCATCCTCAGACTCATTACCTTACTAGTATCATTTGCCTTCATCTTCAGTCAGCAAATGTTGACCGTTCCTCTTTGAGACGGCTCATGTGATAATCAATATTCTCCGCACATCTAATAACGCGCTCTAGCGGTACAGGACTTCAATCAGAAGTTTTTCACGCTGATGTCAAACATGGTTTCTACATCGTAAAATCACATATACCGCACGCCGTATCAAAACAGAAGTCAGGCATTCGGTTTATGCGAATATCTATCTGAACTAACTGCTCATCATTATCATGCTAGTGAGGTTAAAGATCATGTGACCACTCACGCTGTACTTTCATTGGCTAATATAGACTCTAATATCTTAGGAGGTTTGCTGAAGGAATGTTGAGTCTTCTGTCCTCTGAATGCAGATGGTGGAGTGATGAAACCTTACATGGCAATCTTTCTGAAAGTACCATGACCATGCTGGTGTGCAGAAGGACAGAGATTTGGAGCGAGTGACTGGGGTCGTCCTGTTGTGTGGTGTGAACAGAAACTCCAGATCTTGTCCATTCTGTCTGTCTCAGTCCATGCATGAGCGATGTTTAAGGAGGGGTGTCTCTGTGTCTCCTCCCGTCTCAATAAACAAAGACAGCTCTGCTTCACTAACTTTTATCTGAGAGAAGGATAAAAGAGAAAGAGAACTATGAATGAAAGCTCTTTTAGGGCATCTATAATGGCAGCACAACACCAAACCATTAACAGCTGCACTACCTTTGTTTTCCTCTGTGTCAGTAGCTGTTTCCTTTGATAGCCTTTGGCGTAGCTGGTTATACTTGATTTCTGTATCCTGCAGAGAGATTTGAGAATTATTGTTTATTTGTGTATATGAAGGACTTAAAGGTCACATATTTTACACCTTTCTGGAGTTTTATTTTAAGTCTTGATATCCTTAAAGGGGTCATATGATGCTGCTAAAAAGAACATTATTTTGTGTATTTGGTGTAATGAAATGTTTATGCGGTTTAAGGTTAAAAAAACATTATTTTCCACATACTGTACATTATTGTTTCTCCTCTATGCCCCGCTTTTCTGAAACGCGTCTATTTTTACAAAGCTCATCGGTCTGAAAAAGCGAGGTGTGCTGTGATTGGCTAGCTATCCAGTGCATTGTGATTGGCCGAATACCTCAAGCGTGTGACGGAAATGTTACGCCCCTCACATACTGTTGATTCCGTGTCCCGGCCGGAGCGACGAGACAAGAACAGAACTGCCGACATTTTAGTCTAACGTTACTCTCCCAGGATCAGTAAACAGTCCTCCATAAAATGTGCTGCACACATCTGGATATTTGGGTTAAACTGTTCTGAAACAGTGTTGTAAATACAACTTAACCACTGATTTGTAGTCGTGTCCTCTTTTGGAAGACCAAACAAAGTAGTTTCGCTTTCACAACGAAAAACACAGCAGCCTAGCGTGAGGGGAAGCCTCGGCTTAGCGTGCGCTGAGGCCAGGCTAGCGTGAGCTGAGGCGGCGGGCTTGAGAACGGCGCGGCCGGCGATTTCGACGAAGGAGCGTCCGGAAGGACATGTGACGACCCCGGGAAACCACGCCTTCTTTCTTTGCGTACACATTTGGGCGGCATTATGCTAATATTTCCACATAGTGACCTAGATATGTGGGGGCGTGTTAGAACGAGGCATTTTAGGTAGGTGTGGCTGACTCTTAACTTTTATAAAGAATATCTCTTTGGATTTGAGACTTTAGTCTTTGCAACTTTACAGATCTTCTTTATGCACCAAGAGCTTGTAACACTCCAAAGAGAAAGGAAAAATTGAAATCGCATCATATGACCCCTTTAAGAATATATATTTGCGGTATAAGTACCAAAAACCATCTCAATATTTTTTTACAGCTCCTCTCTCAGGAGCTCTACAAAGAACAGGTCGATTTTGGCCTGTCTAATTAAAATTCATGAGCCTCTCTTCTGATTGGCCTGTTGTCATGGCGACCGTCACAGCCCTACTGTGCAATGATGTAGTTTCCTGACATCCAGACTGAACAGCGTTTTCTCTACATGTTTCCATGTTGTTGTTGCTCAGCAATGGCATGGACGCGATGTTGTCTGGGGGTTTGGCAAAAGGAGAGTGGGACTGTGGGCGGTGCTCGGTGTGGTGACTGAAGGCGGTGACTGAGTAGTTCTGACGTCACCTTTTTATGGAAGTCACAACGGTTCGTGAAAAATCACAGCTACTTTATGCAGGCTATGTGCATTTGACTGGATTGACTGTTTTGAAACTTATATGGTAGTTACATAGCACCTAGACCTCAGTTATCATAAAAATTTTTTAGTTTTGACAATATGGGACCTTTAAACCAAAAATACATTTACCTGATTTTTGTTTTTGATATAGTTGGACACTTGGTCACACATTTGAAGGTATGAGTCTTCTCACATTAAATCACAGTGTTTTGTTTTTTTAATTATTTTAAGATTGCCTTTATATTTTACGAAAGGGGACCCTTGCAAGTGATATATTTATATTGGGAATATAATTAAACTTTGCAATGATTTAATATAAAAAATGTAAACATAGTATTTCTTGCCCTACCATGGAAGTCAATGGGGACCAACAACTTCAACATTCTTGAAAATATCTTTTGTGTTCAACTGGTTTGGAACGACATGCAGGTGAGTTTTGAATTGTCATTTTTTGGTGAACTATTCCTGGCATTTAACAATCAAGTATTAAAATATTATCTGGACAAAATGTACACTAATTACAGCATATTTTTTTATAGAGAATATTCGTTTTTTTGTTCCTGCTATTAGAATATTAAAATATATCAAATATTTTTTTTTAGCAATTTTCACAATAAATTCCAAATAGCCATCCAGCCAGCAAGTGTAACACTGCAATGAGAGATTTAATATAGGAAGAGTTACTTCTGAGAAACATTCTAGCACTATTTGTAAGCAGATGCCATTAAAGGAATAGTTCACCAGAAATTAAAATGTTGTCATCATTTACTCTCCCTGATGACGCTCCAAACCTGTACGAGTTTCTTATGTTGAACATGAAAGAATATATTTTGAAGAATGCTGGTAATCAAACAGTTGATGGTCCCCATTGACTTCCATAGTATTTCTTTCCCTACTATGGAAGTCAATAGGGACCAACAACTGTTAGGTTCTTCAAAATTTCTCAACATTTTTGGGTGAACTGTTCCTTTAAGTTTTGACATGTTATTTAAATCAACAAAACTGATGCATTATATACATTCAAATACTTATTGGTTATTGTATATTTGCCTATCTGACCATTTTTAAGGCAGAAACATGTCACCTTCAGATGCTGCAGGTTGGCCTGTAGTAGACGTATGTGTGTCATGATCTGTCTGTTGAGGTTTGGTCCTCCGCTGCTCTGAGAGGAGGAAGAGAGGAGCTTCTTCAAGTCAATGCCTGAGTCTCCCGCGGCCACTGGCTCCCCGCTGCTGCCCTGCACATCATCATCTGTGCTGCTCTCGCCCGAGCCTCCATACACCTCCAGCACCATGTAACTGCCTGCAGAGACTGACAGAAAACAAGAGGAGTGGTTACAGGATGCAGCCAGGTTGAGATTAAAGTGTAAATGTAGTATAAAATGTAGGCCAAATCTGAATTTGCATACTACCCTACTATAAAGTAGGTGAAAGCAGGCTGTATCATCCAGAATATAAATATTTTTAAATCATCTGAAACATGTGACATTCCAAAGTGAATTATATAATGTAATTAATGTGCACAAAAGCACACATTTGTGGTGGTGAGTGAGCACTAGGTTATTTGTAAAGCGCATCTCCTACATGCTGGCAGTTTCACGTCACACAAATAATTTTTCTATAACATTTATAAATAATGGTTGTCCCAGGCAACCAATGTCCTACACAGCTGTGCTAGTTTCAGGTTTCTCCTTTTACTCTGTGGCCTTTCTTTTCAGATTCAAATCAAATCAACATTTCATGTCCATTTGCTTATTCATTTGTAACAGTCTTATATTGAGTGGGACAATGTGCGGTGAATCTAGCTGTTCATTACTGTTCATAAGTCCCTTGCATTTCCTGATGACTTCCAAACAAAACAAAAAAAGGACAACACACCACAATCCTCAGACGTCTCAAAGAAGCCTGTGTCTCCGGAGGGCAGTTCCTGTGTGTTCTCAGCCCTCTCTGAGCCATTCTCAACAGCGGACCTGATCGCAGTGCTGTCCTCCGCCCCCTGCTGAGAGCCTGTCCTCGCCACATCTTCCTTTTGCTCTCGCCTCTCGATGTCTCTGTCTGTGTCCTCCTGACTGGACATGTGGTTGATCAGGAGCTGCCTTAGTGTTGCCACTGAAAAACACAGAAATGAGTAGAGAAATCGACAGACTTGCAGGGTTAGAGTGAATCCAATGTGGTTTTATTGTTGGATTTTAGTAGGTCTACACAAATGAATTTTTCAGTGAGAGGGACAGCTCATAGCAGCACTGTAGTGTCTTCTACTCACGTGTTCTGAGAGCTTCATCAGCTCTGAGTGGCTGGAGCTCGAAGGCCTCGGCCTCGTCCTCGTCTATGGCGATGCCCAGCCTCGAGCGCTGCTTCAGGAATGTAAGTCGATCGGTCATATCGGCCACCACGAACGCTTCATCATCTTCAGCCTGATTCTGTAGTGAGTTTTCTTCTTCTTCATCCTCCTCATCAGATTTGGTCTCAAATGGGTTGGTGCTACATGGTGGGGTTGGCATGATCTCTGTGCCATCTTTTTCTACAGAAAATATACAGCAAAACTGAGGCGATAAAGATATTTCTGAGGATGGATACTGGATGTGTTGCTATTGCTATGCTATAACTACTCTATTTGAATGAACTACCTTATTGCCAGACTGTTATTAAGGTATCAATTTTATAGTCACTTTCACAAACATCTTTAAAAATAAATGAAAGAGCCAGTTTACCTGGAGACTGAATGCTCACTAAAGAAATGGGCTCAGAGTCTTTGTTTAGTTTCTGAACACCAGAGTTTATTAACTCGACCGCTTCACGTTCCCCGCTGCAAAACATGTCATATGTTTTACATCACCTTACTGCTTATAAAACACTAATCATATTATAAATGATGTAGAAAACTTAAACTCACTCAGTCTGAGGTAATGGAATGATGTTGTGTAGTTTGGTCTTCATACAATCGGCTCTTTGTGTGATCAGGCACTGCCACCTAGTGATGGAAAAATCAAAACAGATAGTAAACAGCATATATATTAGTTGAAAAATTTAACCCTCAATTTTATTATATTATATTATAATTATATAACTATAATTATACTATAATATGCAAAAAAAAACAAATGACAACTGAATAAATACAAATAAAATTCAAAATATTAATACTATAATTTTTCAACAAAAAACAACACTTATATAAATAAATAACAAATGATAATGGTAAACAAAAAAAAATCATCCATTGTTAATTAACTTTTAGCTAAACATATTATAGCAGATACTTAAGAACACTCTAAAAGGGCATATAAAATGGAACTATGGGTAAAAAAAATGCAGCACTCACGTCTTTTGCTCAGATACGGTTTGAGCCATTAGTTCATAGATCTGGGCTCCATTATCAGACATAGAGAGCACAAAGAATGACCTGTTGTCTGTAATACATTCAGACAATAATGTTAGTTCAACTTACTTTTGAATATGTTTTCTCAAGAAGCCATTAAATATGTGTTCTACACATTTTGACAAATGTATGATGTACATTTCACCCACTTTTCTTGTCTGTTTTTAAAAGCAACACTTACCGGTGGCAACCGAGCGCACCATCACAGTGCTGAGTTTGATGATGGGGCTGAAGATGTGTTTGGTCTCAGCAGTGCCCGCCAGATTCTTACTGTGGCATTTTAAGATCAGCTTCTCATCTTGCCTTTGAAGTAGCACCAATATATCCTCCAGCAGCAATGTGTACAGCTCTGAATACACACACACACATCATACGAAAACATTTCACAATAACATTAAAGATGCCATATTATACACTTTTGCCGCATTTAATTTGTGCCCTGATGTTTTACATGATGTCAGCCCTAGAAGACATTTCTAATTTGAGTCTGGTCTACAGTGAATTCCGTGACAAACCACACCCACCAATAGTTTTATCTTTGTTGACCTTCCAGGACAGCGGTCCCTCATGCACCATCTTCCTCTTAGTCAAGTCCAGGGTCTAGATGGAGAGTAAAATACATTTTGTTTATAATGTGTTGCCAGGTTTTCACAACAAAACCTGACCAATTGCTACTCAAACCTAGCCCAATCGCGTTTCGATGAGGGTCCCCCGCGTTCCAAGAGGGTAAAATGCATGTTTTATGACAGGGTTTCCATGGTAAAATTCACATTCCAGGGGCTAAATATCATGTTATTGGAGTGGCTTCAACCCGTGGAGATTAAGAACAACCTGCGGCAACAGTGTTAAAGTAGTCTAATTCCGCGGGAAAACAGTGGACTTGGCAACACTGGTTGTCAGTTACAGGTTTTTAAAATGGATTTCAAATATTTAAATACGAAGTCTCACCTTGAACTCGGCGATCATGGGGTTCTCACTCTGCTTCAGTGAGGACAGGTCCAGTCGTCTCTGGTAATCCTCCAACCTCTGGGGGCAGCAGAGGATCAGGGATCAGCTCAGAATGATTGAGTTCAGCACTGATTTGAGGTCAGGTACTATTTACACACCTGTTTGTTCTCGGCTTCCTTCACCTCCTGGTTGACGTGAGTGAGAATCTTTCGACAGCATTCGCCAGCCTGTTTCACTTTACTTCTCTCCTCAGGATCCTCTGCCGGCAAAAGACAAGTAAATTATATATAAATCACAGACTAACTGTGCACCAAAACAGCTTTTATACAATCACATTAATGCACAGAACTATTTTAACCTATCAGATGTTTCATCCCGTCTTTAAAGGGATAGTTCACCCAAAATAAAAATTCTGTCATTAATTATACATCCTCAAGTCGTTCCAATCCCCTAAGCCTTCCTTTCATCCTCGGAAGTCAGAACACCACTGAAGATATTTTTAATGAAATCCGAGAGGTTTCGGTCGCTCCACTGACAGCCTAAGCAACTTTCACTTCAAAGGCCCAGAAAAGGTAGGGAAAACATGGAAGTAGTCCATGTTACTCCAGTGGTTCAACTGTAATTTTCTGAAGCGACGATAATGCTTTTTGTGCACCAAAAAAAAGACTATATGCAACATTTTTATAATTCAATTTAGAAGTGGCAGAAATTCTGCGTTTGTACAGCAGTACGAAGACGAAAACTGAAATACCTCTGAGTGAAACACATTTCTCACAGCAAATATCCTGTGCAGTGAAGCCTGTGACTGCCACTGTTTTGCTTCAACCATGAAACGTTATGCAAATTTATATACTTATTCGATGTTGTGTGTGTGCTTGTGTATAAGAAAGCAGAATACGACTCTCTATCGCATACAAGCGCCCTCGTGCATATGCAGAAAAAACTAAGCTCAGATTTGATTCAGAAATTTTCAGAATCGCTGAAGACAGAATCACGTTGGAGAATTGATTCCCCCCACCCCTATTTAAGGTTTATGTGTATTAACGTTACACTGAACAACAAGCCTAATATTATTTTTTGCGATCAATTGTGACAAGTGTAATTTGAGTGTTGAAAAAAAGAAGAAATTGCTGTACCTGTGTATTTGGCGATGTTCTCCAGCAGGAGGGGATACTTTGTGAGTCTTTGTGTCTCCACAGGAATAATGTCCTTTAACTGTAGCCTGCGACAATGTCGGTTACTCTCTGCCTCCTGCAATACAAACACTTCCATATTAATTACATTTATTTACATTTATAGTATATTACATTTATAATAGCAATTACATTTACTATATTTCCCATCTGGAATGGCCAGATAAAACACACACACACGACTAAAAGCAAGTAGAGTTACTTACAATTGTTATGAAAGCAACCACTGCTCTATTAGGCCACTGACCTGTATAAAGGAGTTGAAGCGCTGGTCTTTCTTCTGTTTGCTCTTGATGAGTTCCAGGGCGAAAGGCTGATTACTGCAGTACATGCCCGCAGCTCTCTTGATCTTCGCCTCTTCTTCTCCACTGAACTGTGGGTAAAGACACAATTTAGGTGTAAAACATCCCTGCTAGAAAATCTAATAATAACTGAATTTAGATGGTTCCTAGCTGGCTAAAACTAGTCATTTATGGTCATTAGTTGGTCCAAGCTGGCTTAGTTGGAAGATCACATCAATTTGATACAGCAACAAACCAGCTACCATGTTCGTGAGCTTGTCTACCTTAGACTAGTACAATCTGAATTTTCAAGCAGGACATTTTCTTTAATGCACATTTGCAGTTTCCTACCCAGGAAAGCAAATCATCTCCTATTGAGTCAATGAGCGCCGTCTCATTTTTCTTCCGAACCGCAGTCATTTGTTCTGTTAAAGACACTGAAGTGAAACGAGAAGGAAGAGAGTATTTTAGAAGGAATCTTTACTTTAGATGTGTTCAAGAATTTGGGGAGTTTGTGAAATTACAAGACTTACTGTGCAGCTGAACGATCTCCTCAAGGTTGCTGAAGATGTTTTTGATGTCTGCAGGAGGGATGATGGCCTCTCGGATCAGCGGCTGGTAAAACAAATTCTCCAGGACCTTCATCATTCGAACGTGTGCTCTCTCTGTGTAGAACAACTCTGTGAAAGCAATGGAGAGTGGTGGTTACACAGGATGGTTTGCACTTGTTCACTGCTTCTCAAGTTTGTGCTGGGACTAACCAGAATTTTTTTTTTCCTGGGGTAAAATAAGGGAATACATTTTGAGTTGAAAAAAAAATTATGCGACTTTATTATAAAATTAAATATATATGTAAGGTTAAAAATATATGCAAAAATATAAGATATGCAAAAATATATATGTAAGGTTACTTGTGTTACTTATTCAATTTTAATTAATAATGGTAAAACATTGATGTCCAGTAACAAACAGTGTTTCAATCAAAATAAAAAATAAATTGTACTAGCATAAAAACGAATGGCGAGAGATCTATGTAGCCTAAGAGATCCATATGTCTTGAATTGTGTAACAAATTATCTGATATTTAATAAAGAACAAAAGACAATTTGGTGTTCATTGTTCATCTATATCATGCAACTTGATTTAAGTTTCTGAGAAATTAAAATCAGAAAATAAATTGTGATTACTTGAGGGAGACACTTCCCAAACCACTGCTCATCCGGTGAACCACACTTGTCACTTACCGTTGATGACTTCTTGTCTCTTGATTTCCTGAGGGGTAAGTGTGGACAGGACATCTCTGCTCACCAGCGTCTGCCAGTTAGGAGGCTCCAGCTCTATCTCAGCACACTGATCATCTTCACTCTGCACCTCTCCAGAGCCCAGCGGCTCCATCCTGCTGTACAAACACGGCAAACGCAATGAGAACACATCAAATCGCATGGCTACAATATCTGTAATTTTTAATGCTAATTTATAGTAAAAAAAAAAAAAAACTGTGGTAATCTACCAACTTTAACAGTTTAATCAATCTTAAAATGCAATCAACTATTAGCATTTAAAAAAAAATTAATATATTATTTATTAAAATATTCCGTAAAAACATGTTTTAATGAATGTTATTATTATTATTATTATGTTGAGAGTAAATTTTACTAGTTTTTACAAGGTTTTTTTTAATTAACAAATGACAATTACATGGTGAAATGCTCAAGAAATTAACTCTTAAGAGCAGCTCTGGAGATTAAGTTTATATAGTATATATATCATCTCATAGAGAAATCATAGAGGCCTAGCAAGGAAAACACACTAAATGCCCCTTACAGTAGGTCAGACAAACTAAATTCTATCAGAGCTGTCCTATGGTTCCCACTTTCATAAAAAAAATTGCTTTGAATGTTATATTTAAGTTTATTACATAATACATGTTATTATATTATATTGTCATTTAAAGATTATATGTATATACAACCTTACTGGGGTCATTATGTAAGTGTTAAATGTTTATGTGTATTTTCTGTGTATTAAAAGCACAACCTTATATTTTGTATTGTTACACAATGGGATCCAAAAAGACTGAGAACACTACTGGAAATTCTTCTGTTTTATTACATGTGTGTTTTGTCACATTAATGCTTATACTGTTGTCTGAAATGGCCAAGAAGTGATATCAGCATCGACCACTGAAAAACCCACACTGGTCAACCCCCAAAGAGAGAGCACTTACCTCCTGTCAGGCCTGGGGGTGCCGGTGTCCTGCGTCCTGTAAGGTAAATCATATTCCAATTACCCTACAGCAGTAAGAATCCCAACATCCCAAACGCTACATGTTGTCAGCGCTCTCTTTCTCTTCCCAAGAGCCCCAAGTCATGAGGCACAAGCTTCATTCTCTGTCTGTCCCAGTAAGATCATTTACAGAGCAGAGCACCACAGAGCAAAGCTTTGTTTCAAATGTTGTATGTGCATCGTCACTACAGAGACTTAACGAACAAAAATAGCTGTGAGGCCTGTATCGTGGCTGCTGAGACAGATGAGACCGCTCTTACTCAAAACAGCCCGATTATGAGACAGCGACTGCTCATCTTAAATTCAAATCCAATGTAAAAGCATTTTTGGAGTGACAATTTTTAGGCTTATTTACACTACCATTTATTTAAAAATACAGTAAAACAGGAAGATTGTAAAATACTATTACGATTTAAAATAATTGCTGTTTTAATATATTTTATACATGGCAATTTTTATGATGGAAAAAAGCTGAATTTTCAGCATCATTCCTCCAGTCTTCAGTGTCACATGATCCTTCAAAAATCATTTTAATATAATGATTTGCTGCTCAAGAAAGAATTACTATTATTATCAATATCCAAAACAGTTGTGCTGCTTAATATTTTTGTGGAAATTGTGACATTTCTGTTGGAATGAACAGCATTTATTTGAAATAGAGATATTTTGTAACATTATACATCTCTTTACTATCACTTTTGATCAATTTAATGTGTCTTTTAGAATAATAAAAAAAAAAATCTGACTCCAAACTTTTGAATGGTACTGTAGCAGTCTGAACAGCAAAAAGGTGCACAAAACCTCATAAAACAATATCTAAATGTGGTTTTAAGATTAAAATGTTATATTTAGAAATCCAGTCAGTATGAAATGTTTCATTCAGGATGCTAATTATATTGTTCTACTACCTGCTGAGGACATACCAGATAATGACGGAGTATGTGATTTTATAAATCTGGATTGTGTGCTGTGTGAAAAAGTGATTTTATTAATATAAGCCTGGATGGTGATCACTTGACTCACTTGTCTGTCTCAGCTTCCTCCTCCTGTAGATGCTCCAGTGTACAGGGGCTGAAGTCAAAGTGAGTGTTTGAAGAGGACGAGTCCTGCAGATCTCCCGAGACGACACCGTCTCCCAGTCTAGGTAGTGCAGAAGAGGGAAGTCCACCTAAATCAGCCAGAGAGACAGTGTGTCAGAAAATGAAAAGCTTTTGAAATCAGTGCTGAATAGAAGAAGCTTCATAAGGAAAGGCAACTTGAAACTGGCCTTTGCTGGGCTTTGAACATTTAAAGTTGAAACAAGAAACAAACAAACAAAAAAAATTCAATTATGCCCACAATGAATTAACTCTCTCATTGAAACACGTAAGAAATATCCCTCTCTCTAAATGTGGGCACAATCTGACCATCTCCCATTAAAATGAAAAATTACAAAAAGGTAAAAAAAAGGCCAATTATTTTCTATAAAAAAAAAACGTAGTCAGCAGATTTAAGCCTTGACCCTAATAACCAGGAGAACACTGGCAGAGCTTAGACAAAGCAAACTTATAAAACTAAAAAAATAATCTAAAAACAAATCTGGGGTTGTATTACAGAAACATCTTAAATTAGAATCCTATCCTATTTGGTAATTTTGCTTAGAACTAGACATTTTTCAAATCTTGAGTCAAGAAATAAGATTCTAAGTTTTTGTAATACAGCTGCTGGGAAATAAGTAGAAATATGATGCAAAGGAGAGGACAGAAAGAGTAATCATTAAGGGCAGATAACTATGAGAGGGCACAATGACAGTGGAGGGGAAAAAAGGAGAGAAAGATTAAAGACATTAAAGAGCGAGGTAACGATTTACAATAAGTTCCCATTAGTTAACATTAACAAAGATGAATAAATAACTAATTTTAATTAGTTAAATTAACTAATGTTAATAAATATACAACTCACTGTTCGTTGTTTACTCAGTTCTAATAAATAATATTAACTTTGTATTTGAATAATATATTAGCAAACATTAAAGGGGTCATATGATCCTGCTAAAAAGAACATTATTTTGTGTATTTGGTGTAATGCAATGTATTTATGTGGTTTAAGGTTTAAAAAAAAACATTATTTTCCACATACTGTACATTATTGTTTCTCCTCTATGCCCTGCCTTTCTGAAACGCGTCTATTTTTACAAAGCTCATCGGTCTGAAAAGCGAGGTGTGCTGTGATTGGCCAGCTATCCAGTGCATTGTGATTGGCTGAATACCTCAAGCGTGTGACGGAAATTTTATGCCCCTCACCATACTGTGATGCCATCTCCCGGCCGGAGCGACGAGACAAAAACATTAAAACCCATTATAAACGAGCCATTTGTTGCATCCAGTGGGGACATAATTACTGATTATAATGACTTATACTGTCAAGTGCCAGACTGTACTTGAAAAGTTGGAATTGCCCCACTTTATAGAAACAGCCTTTGTGCACAGACGCATTTGTAGGCTACTCTTCCAGGAAACAGTCGTCGTCCTCCATAAAATGCGCTGCACACATCTGAATATTTGGTTTGAACTGTTCTGGAACAGTGTTGTAAATATAACTTAACCACTGATTTCTAGTTGTGTCCTTTTTTGGAAGAGTAGTTTTAAAGTAGTTTCACTTTCACAACGAAACACACAACGTCTTCACGACATGGCGGCAACAACAATACTACAGCGAGAATAAAAGTTACACCTTCTTTCTTTGCGTGAACATTTGGGCGGCGTTATGCAAATCTTCACACATTGTGACATAGGCATGTGGGGGCGCGTTAGAACGAGCCGTTTTAGGTAGGCGTGGTTGACTCAACTTTTATAAAGAATATTTCTTTGGATTTGAGACTTTAGTCTTTGCAACTTTACAGATCTTCTTTATGCACCAAGAGCTTGTAACACTCCAAAGAGAAAGGAAAAACTGAAATCGCATCATATGACCCCTTTAAAAAGTAACAATACAATGAATAAATTCTTTGTGAAAAACTTTTTATCAAAATGAAAACCTTTTAATTGTTGGTTCACGTTAATTAACCTACTTAACTAATGGAACTTTATTGTAAAGTGTTGGCAAGAAAATAATCATGGCTGATCTTCTTTGTGGGGCTTTTCTCAGCCAATACTCAAATTTAAATGATCAGTTTGATTATTAATTAGCATGTAATGTAATTAATTTGGTTGTAGTCATATCTCACTGATAGACAACACTTAATTGCTGTCCATGACTTCAAATCTTGCACTACTCATTCATCTAAATCAACTGACAGCCCCAAAAATATCAAAAAAGAGTTGGAGAAGGAAAACTTTTAAAAGCACAGACACTTGACAACAATGATCTGTGAAGCGTCTCTCACCAGCCTCAGACTCTCGGTTGATGCTGTCTGTGCCCTGTGCTGCTGGAGCACTGTAAGGGGGTGACGTGACCTGGGCAGTGGTGCCATCTGAGCCTTCACTCGACTGACTGCTCCGTACGGGAGGAGACGACCCGTCTGCCTGCTCTCCAGCACCCAACGGCAGCTGAGGCTTTGTCTGACGCTGCCTCGGCTCCAGAGCCCTGCTGACTGCAGGGCAAGAGAAAGAGAGAACAACATCAGTGTTAGGGCTCGCCAATAAGGACTGCCTGTTTGGCTGGGTCAGCGTGAAAGACCCTCAGGACAGTTGATGGAATTATTGTTATATATAAATACACATATAAAATTGGGAGAAAATGTTTAATTCAGTGAGGACAGAGCAGTGATTATTTTACATTGATTACCTTACTTAAAGGGTTAGTTCACCCAAAAATGAAAATTCTGTCATTAATTACTCACCCTCATGTCGTTTCAAACCCGTAAAACCTTTGTTCATCTTCATGGATTATTTTACAGATCTACTTGCTACGTTTCTGGACTTGGGAACATTTCAGCTGCGTTGCTGTCTATGCAGGATCAGACAGCTGGGGGATTCCATCAAAAACATCTTAATTTGTGTTCCGAAGATGAACGAAGGTCTTACAGGTTTGAAACGACATGAGGGTGAGTAATTAATGACAGAATTTTCATTTTTGGGTGAACTAACCCTTTAATTTCTTTAATATTTCTTTCCTCTGCATACTAGTGTTAGACCTACCTGAAAAACTCAAAGCATTGTTTGTTTCATTTTATTTGCTTGATTGTTCTTCTTATTTCATTACTGACTGTTTACTTGTCTTCACTAATGTTTAACCTTTATAATAGTTAGGATAGTAGTTTTTGCTGTGATATCGAAACTGGAAAAGGGAATTGTGAAATGTCACTGGTATCTAAAATTTTGGTGTTGTGACAACATTATTTACTAAAAAAAAAATAAACAAGCAATTTATTATTTTTATTTATTTATTTTATTTTGTGGCAGGGCCAGTAGAAAAAAAACTTAGCATTCGAGTCCCGAATGGTATTTGTCTCTTCAAAATAAAGGAGATTACAAGTGGGTGGTTGTCTGTATAAAATGGTTACAAACAGGGAAGTAAAATAAACCCACAAGGAGCTTCACAAGGAACTAAATTATGCCAGATTTCACCCTAACAGAAACTGGAAAAAATATTTTTTTTTCTGATAAAAAAGAACCAGTTTTTCCCTCTTCATTTTTTATCGATTTTAAATTCACTAATAGTATTCCTCTAGGTTTGAGAAATATTATTTAATTCATTTTAAACCCCATTTCACCATCTCTAAATCCTAGAATTAAACAGGCCTCTCTTTTTTGCTACTGCACCTTTAAGACTATATGTAAACGACCTTGTTTATGAATAGCTGACATTTCCGCTACTGTCTACATAACTACAAAACTAAACCTGTGTTGTAATCCAGTGGTTCTCAACGCCAGATTACTTAACAGAGCATATCAATAAAAAACCAAAAAACTAAATTATAAAAAACACACACACACACACACACACAATAATCAAGATTTCTTTTCCCCCTCCCAAGACAATTGTTTTTATTAAAGAACATATAGAATCATAATCTTGTAGCTTCTGAAATCATAAAATAATTTTTGGTTAATTTAATATATCAACACCCAGTTTCTGTTAACAAAAGAGTTTGAAAACAAGCAGCATTATCATTACAGCAAAAATATAGGAGGAATTATCTTAGACAATATGGGCAGGGCCTTTAAATAATTTTGTTGGCCAGTGGGGGTCTTTGAATCAAAAAGGTTGAGAACCACTGGTTTAACTGTTAGTGAAATAAATTAGCTTACTTGCTGAAGTGTCAATCCTGCTCGGCCGTCTCTGAGGAAAGACACTAGGAAATCGTGTTTTCTTTGATTTCTCCTCACTTCCATCTTTCTCAGGCTTTATGCTTTTCTGTTAAGGGAGCACAGAGACAATGGTTAGGTTTCTTTGGTTTCATGGAGTCATTTGGAGACAGAGTCAGGAAGTTTTCTGAGAGTTTGTACCTTTATTTTAGGGAAAAGATTCATTAGCTTGGGCTTGTGCTCCAGCCCTCGAGACTCCTTCACTTTTACGCCGAGCTGCTTCATATACGACAGTATCACAAACTGCATGGTGCTACTGTGAAAGAGAATGACAGTATGAGAAAAAAAAATACTTGGAATTTGTTCACATCCCTAAGTTTGAACGGTAGTAATGCATTCAAATTGCGTTATTACATCTGTATACATACCCAGGTGTTGATGATTCAGCCAAAACTAAACATTTTTCTAATCCAGCCATAGACTTAAACTAAGTTTCACTATGGTGGTTTAAAACGGACTATTCTGAGAAATCATTATCTGTCATTTCCAGGAGGGGGAGCAAGAGCTTAGTTCAGTCCATGCTGAAATACTTTACAGTGTGCAGAAAATTATTCTGACAGCTAGGACCCCAGCTGAAGAACTTACAAAGCTGTTCTCACAAACACTTACAAGCCAAACAGATGACTTGCACAATGCGTAACCACAGTCAGTGCCAGAGCAGAAATAGCCCTCACAAGCTCCTGTCAGAGGCTTCGTGAGGCTCCACTCTCTTGCATGCCATCTGGGAGGACACACAATGCCTCAGTCCCTGCTGCTGCCGCCCATATGGGCTCCTGACCGATCATATGCTGCAACTACACACCACTCACAAGACTGCAGCAAAAACTGGGAGGGAAACTTCAGGGCTAGTGTGATTTGTAGCCGGTTTTTGCCTTTAAAATGTACCTTTTCACTTTAAAGGTTTTGTTTTACTACTTTATAAAGTAATGTAAAACTGTACCATTTTACTAAATTCTCCATTTCTGTGTGACCTTGGATTTAGTTTCAATCTGTAAGGCAGGACAGTGATTCAGGGGTTAATATGGGGTGATGTAACATGTCGTTTATGGAGGGAGAGGACATGAGAATTCCCCTTACCACTTATCTTCCTCTGTGGCCTGTGACGTCAATCTGAAACAAAACATAAATTGCAATTTACTGAAGTGTGAGAGACACACACAACTTCCAGTGTGTTTTCCTTATCATTTGAATAGTGTAACATGCAATATTTCCCCATTTTGGATTAAACCTAAATATGTTATCATAATTAGTTTAATCTCAATACAATCATATTAGTCTAGGTTTAATCTTAGTCAATCTTTGGGTAAAATGGGAACCTGTTAAATAATGACTAACAATGAATGGCTGTTGGCTGATGCCAATATGTCATACATTAAACCTTGTTACCATAACCCTTTTTAAAATAATGTAATGTGGTATAAATCAACAAATTTGGCACAGAAATTTTGTGTTCACAAAAAGTGAACACAGCTAAGAAAAGTAAATCCTACCTCTTTTTTCCCCACTTGAATTTTTCAGTTTTGTTAAATTCGTCAGCTGGGAACAATTTATTTATTAAAAAGTGTGTATAGTACTTACCCCAGCATTATATTAGCATTAATTTATATTTCTAAAAAGCCTCTTGCGAACATTTATGAGTCACCCGTTACCTTTCTGAAGGCATATTGACCTCAGTTTACATACTGGTCCCTTGCAAATATACAGTATGTACTTTTTACAAAATTTACATAATCCTTAAACATGTATATTTATATAAAAGAAGAGGACTGAGAACAGAGCCCTGTGGGACACCCTGAGTTAGGGGAGTAGTGAAAGATTTAAAGTCATGGACAGCAATTAAGTGTTGTCTATCAGTGACATGATTACAACCATGAAAGCCCATAAAGCTATATGACATATTGACATTTTTTTTAAATAGAATTCTGAACATCTTAAAAATTCTACAAGAGCTCTGTAAACATGATAAAATGGGTATGTAAATGGTAGTGATCTGTAGTGTGTGAGCACCAACTACCATACACGGAGAGACAACAAAAAAAGAGGAGGACAATAAACCTATCAAGAGAACAAATGGCATCATCTAAAAGTATATGCACATACATGTCAGCATGGACAAGTGCACTTACAGTACATCCTCTATCTTAGAGATAATGTGCTCTGCACAGGATCGCTCTTTTTCCAGAGCCACACGGTCTCTCATTCTCTCTGTATCCAGACGGGCTAGCTCTGCTTCAGCCAGGGTCAGACCCATACTGCGCTTGTGCCTGAAACATACAAATAATACACAAGTGAACTTACTGGAGGAGAAGGTTTTGACTGACACTTGTGCTGGTACATTGGAGTTGAAGAGTGCGTGTTGGGGTCTTTATCTGATTGTGAGTGTGTATTAGATGAGTGCATTTCACCTGAAGTCTTCTAGGTTCTTCTGGATGTCAGGTAGTAGTGTGTCCTGCAGCTGCTGCACATATTGCCGGTGGACGTCCTCTGAGATGGGCTCCGGCCTCTTCCTTTCTGCATTAATTGAGTGTGCAGTCCGTTCTATGCACACACAAACACATGCATAAAAATCATGCAAAGTTGCACTAAAATGAGATGCACAGTATATAGGCGCCATTATCGATAACCAGACGTTTTTCTCATTTACCAATAAATCAGCAAATACAGATTAATTTAAAAATAAAAAACTAAATATCAGACAGTTAAATTGTTGTTTTATTCAGCCAATATATTTTGTTGTTTTATTTTCAAATAACAGCCCTAGTATTGAGAGGTTTGAACTTACCCAGGTCAGCGATGATGGATTCGGGCACTGTTACTTTCAAGCTCTGTTAAAAAAAAAACATTCAACACTTAATCAGAAACCACATCTATCACAATCTAAAAAAGCCGAGACTGCTTTAAAGTTCCTCACAGCTGGTTTTTCTATGAAGAAGGTATCCATGAGGATTCGTCGTGTCTCTTTGGAGCTGGTCTGTTTGTAAAGTTCAGCATAGAGGTAGCACAGCTGCGGAGCGAGACGGGAAACAAGTGATGTGACTCATCTGCTCTGAGGCCAAACCATAAGCATGCAAGAGAGATTCATGGAACATGGAAAGTAATTTATAAACATTTTGTTAGATTCCTGGAAATTCCAGGTTTGTGGGTAAGAGGGGTGATCGATCTCACCAGCGGCGCAGGGTCAAACTGAGAAACCACATGATGGATGAAAGCTGCCAGGTGAGCAGGCCGAGATTTCAGGAGGTCTACGCTCTGAAAACAGCTACACTGGCCATTCAACTAGAGACAGAAAGAGTTAACTTACATTACTAGTACACATTAATATATTATTCAACTTTATGATTTAATGCATAACTTAAATGTGGGCTTGTGAATGTAAATGTGTAAAAGGTTTTGCTATTTTCCATGAATAAACATTGGGCTCTGTTCCAAACGCTAGTAAGCTTCCTTAAGATAAAGACTTACAGACAGATTGAAACAAATATATACCAACATGGCTCACCCATATTACTATGAATGGGAGAAACTGCACCATCAACTACCTTGACAAAGGCTACTAGCCGAAACGTTGGATAATAAATAGCCTATGCTTAAGTGAGTGTGCAGTTGTTCTCTTTCAATTAGGTTTTAATTTTTTCCTTCAACTTTCATCTCTACAGGTGTGCGTGTGCTTTGCCTCACTTGCTCTATTAAGAAACTGCAACATGCAATATAGCAGAATAAGTTCTGCCTTCTAAATAAAAGAGCCAATCATCATTTTACAGCAGACATGCGCACTGGACTGCACATGCGCATTAACTGGAGCAACCTGAAATACCTGTGCACTTTTTTAAATCAATTTGAATGTAAAGTAGCTTTTACTTTTACATTTACATTTATACATTTAGCAGACACTTTTATCCAAAGCGACTTAAAAATGAGGACAAAGGAAGCAATCAAAATCAACAAAAGAGCAATGATATCCAAGTGCTATAACAAGTCTCAGTTAGCTTAATGCAGTACACGTAGCAAGTTTTTTTTAAAATCATATAATAAAAAGAAAACAGATAGAATAGAAAAAGAGTAGAGCAGGCTTTTGTTAATCCGAAGTCAGAAAGTCAGAATTATAATTGTATAATAAATAAAAAGAAAACAAATAGATAGAATATTATTTAAGAATAATTAGAGAAGCAAGTGTTAGTTTTGTTTGGGGTTTTTTTCTAAATAAAGAATATAATTATAATACAGAGTGCTAGAGTTAGAGAGTCAAATAAAGATGGAAGAGATGTGTTTTTAGCCGATTCTTGAAGATGAGGCTAAGGACTCGGATTGAGTTGGGCAGGTCATTCATGGGATGACCATGGGATGGCACAATAAAGTGACGTTCACTTGCAGAACGCAAGCTTCTAGAGGGCACATAAGTCTGAAGTAATGAATTTAGGTAAAGGGGTGCAGAGCCAGTGGTGGTTTTGTAGGCAAACATTAATGCCTTGAATTTTATGCGAGCAGCTACTGGTAGTGACGTGCATTATTTTCGGCTCGTTAAAAATGAATCTTGCTGCCGCGTTCTGGATTAATTGTAAAGGTTTGATAGAACTGGCTGGAAGACCTGTCAAGAGAACTTTTAGCCAACTTTCTTTTTTTTTTGCCAACTTTTAGCGTTGTTCAATGAATTTTTGTGGGCAAAATCCAGTTATTTCAATAGGAATACACACGAGCAGGAATTTTGTGTGAGGGCAAATGATTTCCATTTGCAGACTTCGCATCAGTTATCCACAAAGATTCACTGTGTTGACCAACAGAAAGCTGCTTGGTTGAGCCCCCAATATACTTCAAGCAAATTGAAAAACAAATTGGTGTGACATCATTTCAAATAAAATCTAATCAAAACAAAGTTCATTTGGAGTTTGTTTTTGGAGATTTAAACAGCTTGGCAACACAAATTTTCCCAAACACATTTTAAATAACATTGGTCCGTGGCGAGGTGTGTGCGCTCTGCCGCTCTGACTTCTTTGAAATAGAAATCTTCTCCGGTTCATTTTTCTCTTCAGTCTGTCGAGGTCAGATGCGAGTAAACACAAACACACTGGAGAGCTGGGGCCCGTTCTTCGTACGTCGCTTATTACATCCGAGATGAAATGTCACATCCAAGATGATATCATCGCGCTAATCAGGATCTGGCTAATTGGGTTCTTCGAACGCACCTGTTGTTGATGATTAGTATGGCTGGATTGAGTTATCTGAGATAATTGCGCATTCATGGATTGGTTTAAAAGGGGCTATGTATCGATACTCGAAACCATGATCAGCAATGCAGCGATTGGCTGGCGGCAAGACAGCAACGTAATGACATTATATAATTAAAAAAGACACCTGACGAAAAATTTGACAATTTTTTTTACTTTTGTAAGGAAACTACATAAATGTTATAATAGATAAATGAAACATGCATTGTTTTTATTTTATTTAAATTTTTTACATGATTGCCAATTATTTATAGTCACGATTTCTAATATTTGTACAGGCTTTACATTTTTATTTCAATGTAGTAATTAGCAATTCATTTAATTTTATATTTGAACAGATTTGTTACGTGACAGCATTAATTAAAAGTTTCTTAAGGGTCAAGATCATGTTATCTGCATCTCCTGCGCTCCATCAAGCCACTCCCATAATAGATTCTACATTATCTGTATAGCATGTGTGTAAGACTCGAATACAATTATGAAGTAATAATTTTATGACGAATAAATCTTTCAGTGAGTAAAACTGGCTGTGACTATAGTATTAAAGACTACACAACACTATTATATTATCTTTAAATACATTTTTAAATGATTATTGTTTTAAATTACTGTCCCTGGATTAGTAGGGTACTCTTGTAATAAAGTAGCGGTGGTAGCGGACAGATTTCAAGTATCAATTCTGGTTAAAAAGATGTTTCAAAACAGCATGTTTGGCAATATTTTGGATTTTGAAAAGCCTGTTGACTTTTGTCGTTTATCTAAGGTGATTTTGGATGTTTTTTTAAACATTAGTTTCTTATTTAATTAGTTCCACATTGTTTGCTGATTTTTACTTTATTTAAACTTTGTGTCATTTATTTATTTTATTTGACATCAAGGTGTATGCCGTGCCTCCAAGCTTTCTTACTCGTTTTGCTAATAAACGTTCTGTTTTTCTTATTTATTTGGTTATATATATACACATGTTTACTTGTTTCCAGTTTTGTACATTTCAACTTTTAAAACTAAATTTGTTATTTTATATTAGGCATAGCCTGGTGTATTTTTATTTGTTTTGTTAATAAAAGTTATATGTTTTATATATATATATGCTAAAGTGAGTTTGACGTTGTATTTTGTTGTTGCATTCAAGCAATTAAAGCTGAATTGCCGCTAATTCTAAAGTGAAAGTAAAATTGAAAAGCTATTTAAAAGCGAAGGAAAGCGAGTAAAACAGGGAATGCCTGATTTACAAAAATCAAAAGGCGGTAATGTACAGACTATATCCAAGCCACGGTCAGCCCTACCTGTTCCTGCTCTGTGTCAAAGTCTTCATCCTCAGCACCAATGATGTGTGCTACCGGACGAATGGAGGGGCTCCCCACATTCGACTGACAATCCTAAATGAGAAACACTCAAATTATGCACAGCACTGAGAAACTACAAATGAAGACATGAGGTCAAAGAGGTCCCTCACAAGGTCAGGTGTGTCTTCGGCATCCGGTGAAGGACAGGAGTTGAGGTTGTCTCGGGGTGTGGTCTTTGGGCTGTGGCAGGGGGTCTCTCTTTGGCATGGACTCTCTGGGACAGGACTGGGAGTGACCTGTACAGAACAATTGACAGCAAATTTTACACAAAGGAACCATAAATCAGCATCCAAGCAAACGTGAAATCAGGAAAGTGAGTCTGATGGAAAGCAGGTCTACTGACAGGGGCTGTGGTATTGTTGGTCCACGCTGGCTCAATTCCAGCATCGCCCTGCCATGAAGGGGGTCGATCCAAATCTCCCCCTCTATCCTCCTGCTCTCCTTCTCCTGGCCTTGGAGATAAGGAGCCATCCTACGACAAACACAAACAAACATTTATTAGCACTGCAACATCATGACATTTCCAGAATGTGAAGTGTTATTTCCGCACCACTAGTTGTACTGAATTGAAGACCACAGAGGTCAGGAATTATTATTTGTCTGCCTAGTTTTGTTGATGTAAAAACACGCAAAAAAATAAAATAATAATAATCTCAAAAAGGCATCTTATTCATGTTAACTAGATTTTTTTGTCTTAACCAGTCATAACAACAATGCAATGAGTGGCAGTGAATTCTATGTTTGAAATGTTTTTACTTGGTACAGATCAGTAACTAATTGTTCTTTGTATAATACTAAAATGGTTTCTTTTTGTATTAATTCAACTTGTTGCGAGACAGCCGTGTGCTTGCAGAGAGAGAGAGACCGCCCACACGCTCTTCTGACTGGCTTTGATTTGTAATTGATTTTATTGTGTCTTGTAGATACTTTGCATCTATTGTGGACAAAATGTTTGTCTTTTGAATCTTATTGTTGCATCACGCATGTCAGGTCATTTTAAATTTAGTTCAAGGTTTGGTAATTTTGTTGTGTTTTTATATAGCTCTGATTAAGCTTTAGTTATTTTAGTGCTTCAACAAACTAAATGAAAATGAGAAATGTTGCCTTGGCAACAAGCCGAAATAAAGTAAGTTTCGGTTTTTTGTTTTATTTCAGTAAATGAAAATGTTTGTACGGTTTTAGCTTTAGTTTACCCTAGACTACACTATCTAAATGTACAATGGAAGCTGAAACAGGGCTTCCTGTTTGAAAAACGCTATAAGATATTACATGTTCCACGTGTTTTACTGACTAATAAAATGTCATGTTATGAGCATTACTAATTAGTTGTTAAAAAGCAAATATGGTGTAAACTGATGGTTAATTTTCTCAGTTGCCTCCACACGTGTTGTTACATACAGTGTCACTAGCAAAAAAAATAATGATTTAACTTTTCCATCAATTCCAATTTTAATGAACTTGAAATTATATCAAGTTCAAATGTGTATGTGAAATTTGTAAAATGTGTATTTATACCAAATCAAAAAATACCAAATAAATATTACTTTAAACATTACATTAACATCTATATATAGAGTTTATTTTTTATTACAGTTTTTTTTTTTTTTACATTTTAGAACTGAGAATTTCTCTGAATCACAGCTTGTTGGTAGGTTTGTGTGTGTGTGTGTGTGTGTGTACCTGTCCAGTCCCAGAGGGCTTGCTGAGCTGCTCCTGGTGCTGTGGAATGTGCTTCTTGGCATCCTGGATTTCCTTCAGTAGTTTAGGTGTAGGGTTCCTGCTGTGCTCCTCCGTCATGGCCTGTAATTTATCAAACATTACAGTGGCTCTGATCATTCCGTCTCTTGTCATAGAGGATGTGAGATTGAAAACTCAGAGAGTGCTGTCACAACATCACGTGGTTGATACAAGTGCACTTTTATGTATCAGCGCAATGACGGTCCTAATCACACGAGTCAGTCTATAATAATAGCTTCAGTTCAGCAAATTACGTCAATACTTTCCAATGGTTCTAAACTGAATGTGTACTACATAAAGCACACATTTACACATACTAATAGATCGCAGTATTCTTGCTGTATTTCTAAGCAACTCTGCAAAGCAGCAGCATTTCAAGTAGGGTTTCAGTTCTCAAAACTTGATAAAAAATATGCTAAAAATGCACGGCAACTTAATCAGCACCATAGTCATCTATTATAATACATTTCTTTAAGAAAAAAGTAATGGATTATATTTAAAAAATCCACATAGGTCAGTCTTGATTTGTAGATTTAACTACACTTTTATTGTCCATTCCAGATAACCATTATACATTATTGTTCAAAAGTTTGGGTCAGTAAGATTTTTTCAATGCTTTTAAAGAAATTATGATCAACCAAGGTTGAATTTACTTGATCAAAAATACTGTGTGAAATATTACAATTTAATATAACAGGGTTCTATTTTAATATATTTTAAAGTACAATTTATTCCTGTGATGGCAAAGCTGAATTTTCAGCAGTCATTCTCCTGTCTTCAGTCTTAAATGATCCTTCAGAAATCATTCTAATATGCTGATTTGCTGCTCAAGAAACAATTCTTACTATTATCAGTGTTGAAAATAGTTGTGCTGCTTAATATTATTGCGGAAACCGTGATACATTTTTTTTTCAGGATTCTTGATGAAACTTAATTTCAGGATTCTTGAGCATCTCGATTCAAAACCACGCAATCTTATTCCCAATGACAATAACTGTATTGAATTGATTATCTCGTTATGCGAATAGGTGGCAAAAAAAAAAAAACGTATTTGTCATTGAATCATTTATTCAAGAGATTCATTTAGAAACACTGATTCAACCAATAACTAGTCTTTATAAACGAGACACTGACTACTTCATTCAAATATTTTTTTTAAATAATTTAATTCAAATTAATATATTTTAATAGACTGAAGCAATGAACATTTTGTCAGAACCTCTAGTAAATTAAATTTGATTTAGGCTTTTCTTCAGAATAGTGGAAAAATCACAATCTCTATTTACAAAATAAATTGTAAAAAATCAGGATTTTCAATTTATCCAAAATTGTGCAGCTCTAATGAAAGTTCAAAGAAAACTCAAATCATTTTGAAAATAAATAATTTGAAAAATCTTTTGCAACATTAATTATACATGTATTTTCTGTCACTTTTGGTCAATTTAATGCATCTGTGCTGAATAAAAAAATTAAAAAACTCGAACAGTGAAAGGCAGTGTCCAATTTAAACTATTATGAAAGGAAGTACTCATTGCAGTAACCCAGAAATCACTTTTGTATAGAGCCACAGCCCTCTTACGTGTTCAAGACACTGCCTGTATGAAAGCATGTGACTGCTGTTGCTGTTTTGCTGCTGACACACTTCAAACACAACCAGCGAAACACATGAGTTACTGTAGTAAAAGGCATACAGTGCTATTAAAGACTGAAGGCAGATGATATGGGGCTGATGGAGATCAAGGCTGTTTATCAGCTCTTACCCATACAGACAGAGGGGTCGGTTTGCGCTCCGAGGGGTTGGGGGAGGAAGACGAGCGGTCTGGACCGATGGGCCCCGGGGAGTGAGGGGAGGTGAGTGAGAAGAGAGGCCCCTCCTCCCCCTCGCCGTCTGAGAGGGGGATCTGAGGCAGGCCTGGCGGTCTCCCCAGAACTGTCAGGGCCACATAGGAGCCCGCTGTACACAAACACACAAACACACAAACACACCAACAACTGTACAGTATTGTTCATTTTAAATGTGAATAACCTAATAAACTCAATAAAAAGGCACAAGCTACTTACATTTTATTAGCTTTACAACTTCTACATGATTTGAATGTGTAACTAATGTCCCATTGACCTGCATGAAAAAAAAAACATTAAACACATTGATTAAATTAAATTCATAGATGCTACTTAAACCAGAATGCTGCATGAGTCTTTAGTTTGTGCTGTATTTACTTAATAAACCAATTTTATTTTACATAAACGTTTTTGAAAGTTGCTTCTTAACATTAAGAACAATATTTAAAAGTTGTTTCGTAACATTAAGAAGAATATTGCCAGTTACTGTCTATTTCTGTACCAGCAATGAAAATATGTGCTAAAAAATACGTATAGTGTTTTCAGTGTTATTATATATACTTATATACTATTTGTTTTTTATTAATATTTTGAATAAGTTTTTATTTTTGTATTTTTCAATTGTATTTTACTTTTAGTTGACTTTTAATAATTATGTTGAGTATTTTTTTTTATTTTGTATTTTATTTTTTTTACAAGTCTACATAGTTTTTAGTCATTTTTATTTTCAGTTACTTTTTAGTGCAAGTTAAACAATGAAAATTGCTTTGGTACCTAGCAGAAAACAAATACATTTATGAGTTGACAGGCTTGCATGACCAAACTACATTTCCCATCATTCTACAACAGCGCTCCAAAAGGCTTCCTGTGTTTGTTGGGCTGAGAAAAAAACTGATCAAAATGGCCAGAATATTCAGACCAATATGATATGAGAATACACTACCATTCAAAACCATTCAGGGTCAGTATGTTTTTATTTCTTTATTTTCTTTTTTTAATACTTATTATTAATACTTTTATTCAGCAAGGAAAAATTAAACTGGTCAAAAATAACAATAATACAATTTATAATGTTTTTAATTTAAATAAATGATTTTCTTTTATAACTTTCTATTCGTCAAAGAATCCTGACAAATGTTTCTTAATATTCTTCCACGGAAATATTAAGCAGCACAACAGTTTTCATAATAATAAGAAATATTTCTTGAGCAGCAAATCAGCATATGAGAATGATTTCTAAAGAATCATGTGACACTGAAGACTGAATTAACGGCTGCTGAAAATTCAGCTTTATCTCCACAAGCACAAATTACACAAAAAAAATAAAATGGTAATAGTGCGAAATAATTGTAATTTTAAAATAACTTTTCTATGCATTGATTTCCACACACACACACACACACACACACATTATATGTATGTGTTTGTGTGTGTAGAAAACAGTAAATAAATAAAAAAAGTTATTTTAAAATCAAAAACTATTTCACAATATTACCATTTTCACTATTTTTGAGCAAATATATGCAGCCTTGGTGAGCATAAGAGTTCTTTCAAAAAACTGTACTGATTACAAACTTTTGAATGGTAGCGTAGGTCACATCATAATTATGATTTCTGAACTAATAAGTAGGGCCAGAGATATATGCAGAGCTATAATTCTCCATTCAGCCAGCAGGTGACAGAGCACAGCACCAGAGACATCCTGCCGACATCAGGTGAGCTGTCTGGAGAGGATGTGTGTATGGTAGCCTCAGGGCTTAAAGACACAAGCCCCAATAACAGACTGTGCTCATTTTGAACTAAATCTCGACGATCTACATTCAAATCTACTTCTCTGATTAATGATTCTGAACTTCGTCAAGGTGGAGCCCCTGATGATCATCACCTTTATGATCCGGTCACCTGTCTGAACACCAGCTCGCATGGCAGCTCCATCTACATGCAAAACAAGAAAAAGAGAGAAATCATGCATTCTGCTGAAATGAAAAAAATATACTACGGTACCAGCTGACATCATCAGTGCAGAGTAAGGATGGTCACAAGTAGCTTGAATACACATTTTCACTGTCTCACTGTAGTTACGGGAAAAGCAACTGTGCATTTAGCGCTGTTAGTGTCGTAATTATACTGTGCTGTGGTGCTACACAACCAGATAATTATCCATGCCTTGGTAGTTAAAGGAGACAAGTGTGTGTTTAAGTCACTCGTGAAACTCTTCTGCATGTGCATGTTATGGAGGGCAAAACAAGGACAATGAACAACAGGGATTGTGTCTTTCTTACCCTCTTTTACAAGCTGTACAAACACAGGGTTATCGCCGCTCACTGTCAGCCCAAAGCCATTCTCATCTTTCTGGATGATAACACAACGCTGCACAAGCCCTGTGAGACAGAGAGAGAGGGAGAGGGGGGGATAAAGCAATGGAAAGATATGGAGGGTGCAAGAGAGAGGATGAGGACTTGCTAAGTAGCACTCAAGGAGCTGGATAAAGAAGAGTGTGTTATTCCTGGTCATATACAGTATAGTGGCTGTGTGTGTATGTAAAACCAGATCAAATGGCTGAGAGACAGTGGATAAACACACCAAAAATGATTTCTTGAAAGGCCTGGAGCATGCCAGATGCACTCAGTCATGAAAGAGCTTTAGAAACGACAAACAACAAAAACCTGTTTCTTTTCTGGCATGCTTGTGACTTTGCAGGAAGTCCATGTGAGAAAATGTAAGAAAGCTCCTCAAACATACACTACCGTTCAAAAGTTTGAGGGCACCAAGACACACACAAAAAACTATTTCAAATAAATCAAATAAACTGTAGATTAATAATAAGAGATGTTTCTTGAGCACCATTTTGTCATATTCAAATTATTTTTGAAGGATCATTTGACACGGATTTGCCATCACAGGAATAAATAACATTTTAAAATATATTAAAATAGTTACTTTAAATTGTACTAATATCCACAATTTTACTGTATTTTTGAGAAGAAAAAAAAAACATATGCTTGGTGACCATAAGTGACGACGAAAATGTAAGAAAGCTCCTCAAACATACACTACCGTTCAAAAGTTTGAGGGCACCAAGACACACACAAAAAACTATTTCAAATAAATCAAATAAACTGTAGATTAATAATAAGAGATGTTTCTTGAGCACCATTTTGTCATATTCAAATTATTTTTGAAGGATCATTTGACACGGATTTGCCATCACAGGAATAAATAACATTTTAAAATATATTAAAATAGTTACTTTAAATTGTACTAATATCCACAATTTTACTGTATTTTTGAGAAGAAAAAAAAAACATATGCTTGGTGACCATAAGTGACGACTTTATATATATAAAAAAAAAAAAAAAAAAAAATCATACTGACCACAGACTTTTGACTCATTTCACAATATAAAGATGCTTAGAATCTTAGAAAGATTTTAGTATATATCAAAGCATGAAATGGTGTTTTCAACTACTTTTACTTCTGGAATCAGACATATTTCTAAATCTAATAAAGCCGGGACACACCAAGCGGACTGGCACTATCACGTGCATTCTCCTCCTGCGTGGAAGGAATTACCTGGCTATATCAGCAAATCTATAGCCTGTTTGCATTCAAAAGAAGAAAACGAAACAAGGATATGAGATATATGCAAGTATACGAAACGTAAATAAAGCAGTGCTTGCTTACCCTTTTGAACATCAGTTATGCTGCTAACTTTCTTCATTTTAAGTGGCTCATATTGTTAAGAAAATATTTGCGTATTGGAATGCTCGGACAAGATAACGTAACATTAGAATAGCCTCTGTCTGTGCTGCTAAACTGAACATCCAATCAGAGTTCCGGATTGGGCAAACTGTGTGGAACACGCTACAAAACTGGTTTTCAGCAAGAAAAAAGAAAATCATCTTTATTTAGCAAAACTGTCAAAAATTGAAAGATGTTTTAGAATTAGATCAGTTACTACATTTTGATGAAAGATTACAGATACCTTTTCTTCTTAGGAATAACAATGTTAAATCATATTTTACAATAGGATCTTGAAGGTGTATTGATAAATTAAATGGGATCAATTTTGATTTGAAGATGACTATAAAGTGAGATGTCCTTACAATACTATGAAAAGCAAATTAGATGTAAATTAAGACATACCCCGCAATCAAGCACGCATATCTGTGCCAGCATCATCACATAAGAATAAATCCCTCACAATAAATCCATCACATAAGAATAAATCCCTCACTATAAATCCATCACATAAGAATAAATCAACTATGAGCAATGGAGTATTAAACAAGAAAGAATCCATTAAAAATGCATGTTTAAAATAATAAAATCATGGTCCTTACAAATAAATAAATAAATCATAATACAGCTGGAAAGAGCGGTTGAGATACAAAACACTTGTGTACAAATATACAAATTAAGATTTATTCAGTACAGATAATAAGAGTTTTTTTTTTATCTGAATAAATTTCTTAATTTAAGCATACTGTCGTTCAGGATCTGCCAATGCATATGTATACCACAAAAAAATTAAATAATAAATTACGCCTCTGTAGACAGGTGTCTGTTAACAGTTTTAACATGGACACTGCTTGTGTGAAGAGTGGACATGTAAAAAACAAAAACACGCCAGACAAGTATCTCACAAGACTGGATCAGTCTGCAATGTGTTTCGCTGAAATGCTTTGGTGCAGCTCTTAAGCCATTCATGTGTGATGGCTACAAAAGTGCATCTTCCTCCATTTGTGCTACTAACACAAAAACACATACCCTCACACATTCACAAACACTCTGGCTGAGTGTAGCCATTATACTAGACTTGATAGACTGGTGTATGGTAAATTTGTGACAACTACACTCAATAAAACAAGACCAGACGACCTACCTTTTTGCCCGAATTATATTGCTTTATGTATGTGACATCTGGCCTGAATTAACTCAATGGATGCATCTTTCAAAGCTGTTAGAATGATTACTCCTTGTTCTCATGCATTATCTGATTCAAAAGAATCATTCATTTGAAAAAAATATTTAAGTTGTTTTACTGATTGTAATCAGTGTAAATGTATGTTTCAATTTTGAGACTGTGAGCCTGATAGTGATTTTTGATTTTGATGTCAGATGAATAGACATTTTTATGAAAGGCTCAATGTAATACAGCAGTAACATAAATAAGTATTGTCCCATTACTGAATTCAAAAGCACACAACTTTGTGTGTGTGTGTGTGTGTGTGTGTGTGTGTGTGTGTAGCATAGAACAGCGATTTTCGTTTTTTCTAAGCCAAGGACACCAAATATGTTGATCCCCTTGTGAAGGACCTCTTCTGACAGACATTAAATTGTTTAAAGATGACAGTAAATTCTATTTCAAATTAATTATGTTCTTTTAAACTATTTTGAAATATACCTGAGAAGAAGAAACACATATTAGAATGATTTCTGAATTGTAATGCATACATTTTATTAATTGATACATTCTGGATAAATAATATTATATACATTTTAAATATTATTAAATATAACTTTATACTTTTTTGGGAGTTTAAGATTAGTTGGGCTGGGTGCACTTGGTCAACTAACCACAAAGAATTGACTCAATGAAATGTTTCAAGCATCTGTTCACTCATTCTGTTCACTTACATCAAACAGATGGCTGTAAAGTAAGATTAAAAGGAAACTCACAACAGAATAGATGAAAAGAGCCAGAAAGAGTCAGCGAGAAAGACTACTGCAGAAAGGTTAAGGTGTGTAAGGACAAGGCACAGCACACCACCTCAATAATGCAAAAGGCTCCAGATCGCTAACAATTAAACATGTCTTTGAGCAAGTCCAGCTCCACCAAGGTACAGCCCAACACCAAGACATGCTAAGAAATCAGTGCAGGCCAAGTTTCAGCGGCGGGCATAAAAGAAAACGAACGAGGCTCACACAAACACACACACACAAACCACAGCAAATCCCCAGAGCAGTGGCAGTGACCCTTACCGCAGGACTCTGGCCTTCCGTCGGCTACTACACTTTGAACAGCCAGTTCTGACAGCAGAAAACATGCGGCACACACACATACAAACAGCAAGAGAAAGAACACAATTGAAAAAAATACACTCCATATGGAAGTAATGTGGAATTCTGCCGAATTGATTAATTTAGCTTTTAACTCAAAATAATGGAAAAAATTATAATACATAATAATAAAATGATAAAACAATAATAAAACATTATCTCAGTATCACTTCGAGTTTACAAAATCACACTTTTACCAAATTTGAGACAGTTTATCCATGACCAACAGACATTGCTTCCTTTTCCTCCCGATTTATAAAACGATGACTCAGACCCATCTGAGACACACCCTGTATATCCTCCTTGATGACTCAGCTAGATCCCTTACTAAAATAAACCGCCATCCTTAAATGCGATTTCCCTCTGATGGCCACACAGCTGTGCGTCCCCACGGCAGGAAGAGAGAGGGATTACAGTCCTGTGACAACATCCGGAGCTTGTGATGAGATGGGCGTCCCACATAATGGTATAACCAGGCCGCTAAAACCATTATCAAGTCCAAAGTAGAGATGTAACGATTACCGGTTTGATGATAAATCATGATAAAATTCCCGATGGTTAGTATCACCATTTCATATTTTAATTATCATTAAAACCGTATTAGATTACCGTGATTTGAACAACTCACGATAAATAAATACTGTCCAGCATAAAGCACAGTTTTAAGTAACAGTCTCACGTGCGCACAGCACGCAGAGTAGTTTTGTTTTGAGTGAAAACAGGGAGGAAACGCCGGGAGGTTTTAAAAGAGTGCTAACGGAATTATACAAATGAATATATGAATTAATTAATTATATGAATGTACCTCTGAATGTTCTGACTGTCTTCAGAAACGATTCAATGGCATTTTGTTTTCATCTTCGCTCCATGTAATACCCTAATAAAGTAGTGTTTTTAATCGCAGTGCTGCTTTGTCCACAGAGTTTACGGGAAACAACTTTTCCATAAGCGCCACCTGCTGTCAGTGAGTGTATTTACAGAGACTTATATTTACATTCAGTCTGTGTGTAGTTTCTGTCTGGCCAAAAACGGGATGAATTTGCATGCCCTGCTGTAAATTTTGACCGGTTGATGAAAAACAAGCTTCAGGATTCTACACATTTAAACAATTCAGATAAGTTATCTAGAATTATTTATGGAGCAGATCAAATACATATAATCATTTATTAATCAATTATCATTTTGACTTAACTCTTTTCTTTATTTAAAGGCTGAAATGTGAGGTTTACCTTTTAATGAAACTTTTTCAAAGCTTTATTTGAACATTTACATTAGATATTTCAACATGCTATTAAACTGTTGTCAGTCATGTTGTCATTTAAAATCCGAACATCATTGGTAATGTTATTGTTTTAGTGATTAAGCAATCAAAAAGTCATTTTATTTGTTGTTTGTTGATTTTTAAATATAAAACTTGAAGTGATTTATGTGTTGGTACTTTTTGAACATCTCCAGCACATTTTAACAAAACCGTGATAATACTGATAACGTGATCATTTTATCACTATAATCGTAATAAGAAATTTTCATACCATTACATCACTAGTCCAAAGCGCTGGGAATTAAAGCGTTAAACTTCCATACTGCATGGCAACATGGGCTCTGGTGTGCTTGATTTGATAACTTCAGTCATGTCTGGTTAATCCACAGATGTGTGATAAATTCACTTCAGTATACTAAGAGCACATTTTTACTGCTATTATATATTCCCATGGAGTGTGAACATTAACACTGTGACAATGGGCTATTTTATATTGCTCACTTTTGGTTCATTTGTCTTGAATCAACATTTGATAATTCTGTTCGCAGTAAAACATGAAAGAATTAAAAATTAAAACAATAAATAAATAAAATCCTTTTCTTTTTTTTTCTCTATATTTCTCCCCTGCTCTAGCTTGTCTACTAATTTAGCTTTCTAATAAATGTAGCATTGTATACTGCAAATACTAACTTGGCTCTGTAATTAATTGCTTATTTTCCTCCACTGTAAGTTGCTTTAGATAAAAAGTGTCTGCTAAATGCATATGTAAACATAAAAGTAACATTTAAAGGGGTCATATGATGTTGCTAAAAATAACATCATTTTGTG